ATATGTGGTGATGATTTTTGGTCAGCTTTGGTTGGGAACGATGGCCCTTTTCACCTTCCATTCTTGTTGGAGGGTTGTTGCAGTTTGATCTTTAAATAGTATTTCATATATCGAGCAGGCTTCAAATAGGTCATCATGGACGGTAGCTAGTTGGTCATAGATGTTGTTTTATTTCATCTTTAGGTGGACGGTCGAAGCGACGATGTTAAGTTTTGCAAAGAAAAGTCACTTCAGGATGCAAGTGTAGAGGCTTTTGTAGGGGACCGCTAAGAATTGTTCATTGATTGCTCTTTTGTCTTGTCATTCCTCTATAGAAACTGTTATTTCTATAATTCTTCAAGGATGAGTTGTGGATTCATTTAACCCATGTAGATCGGTGCCCTTGTAAGGTAATAATCTTCCTTTATCTATTCTCAATTCCTTTATCTCTTTACATATTATATCAAGACACCTCTAATTAACGGAAATAAATAACACACTTTGAAGATATCCTCAAAGCTTCTACGAACTACTCCTGGTCACCTTCATGTTACCCACGTGGAGACAACATTCAAACAGAAAGGCTGAGTAATCGTGATTTATTATAAAAGATATAAGGAAAAGATTAGTAGTTATAACAACATCTTCACATAACTACTTATACTATTCATCAATATTTTACGCTCACATATACATCATCATATCACTTATACTTCTTTCATCATCAAACATTATATACTCACATAGTTCATAATTATAATCATATCACAACTCATCAACAAAATTTATGCAATGTCACATATGGTGTCAAAGCAACACAATTGACTCAATGCATGTGGTACCAATATTTTATGAACACCTGGTTCATTACCCTCCAAAGATCCCCATCATAGGAACGATTCCCTCTTAGAATCGGAGCACATCATAAACACACATAATCCGCACAATGGAATTGAGGCTCACCATAAGCAGACCACCATCCAAAAATGTTAAGAATGCATGATGCACAACAACATCATATAAAATTCGACCACGGCTAGTCAAGTGCATCACCATTCACATAATCATCTTCACACAGCATGTAAACACATTAATCATGCACGTCACTAAAACATCATCAAAAATCAGACCAATTACATCACAACAGCATCATATAAACTTCATAGCAACATCATATTCATCATTAAAAGAAATAAAACATCATAACATAGCAAACATGTAATAGATTATTCTCATAAACACATAGGTATTAGAATCGTGCATCAAATAGCTTACATAATTCTATCATATTATAGTTCAGCACGTCAGCTTCTCAATGATTCGAACGACGCGTCAAACGCATTCTTGAAACTTAAGTTACAGTAGTTTAAAGTCACTACCAAGTCTGTCTGCCACCTCCTCGCCCAGCGCCTCTTCTCGCGTTCTACTCACCACCTCCTCTCCCGAAGCCTCTGCTCGCCACCTTCTTGCTTGGCAATGTGCTAGCGACGCGTCTTACTCCATACATTTTCTAGGAGATCACCTTTTTTACCTATAGCTCACATGCTGGCTTGCCAGCGACGTTGGGGTGACTGGCTCGCCCGGTGATGCTTACGAAACATCAACTTATCAGTTGTGATTTCTGCACTGTTTCAGCCTCATTCCAATTTTGATTTCACGTCATCTCAATCCAAAATACAGTACAAACATCATATATCACATATCAACATCAAAATACATCGTCATATCATATCAAACATGAATCATAGCATACAGACATTATCAAATCAACATTTGCATCATATATCATCAACATCAACAATGTCATCATATTTCATAAATTTCATCACATGTTTCATCAAATTAATCACACAACAAAACCCTACATTACCATAACCCTCTATCAATCATAATGAACTACGATTAAACCCATTACCTTAATTTCTCAACGAATTGGCTCTTTCTCTTCGAGTTCTACCGAATCCTCCTATGAGCCCTGATTTTTCTTCGCGTTCTCTCAATTCCACGATCGTACCAAAAATGATCTTAATTCTTTCATTTTCTCTTTTTATCCCTTAGACCCATTTCTATGTTATTCCCCTTATACCCTCACTTATTTTCACATATCCTGACCATGTCCTTATTCTCCCTTATTCACCTTAATATACTATTTATTCTATTAATATAACTCTGAATAATATAAATTAAATGATTTAATTAAAAATAATCTTCATTAGAACTTTAATCCACACTATCCCACTACATACCACATATACATCATATAATTCACCATAAATCACATATAATCAAATAAATAATTAAATCTAGATCTGGGGTGTTACAACTCTCCTCCACTTAAAGAGTTTTCGTCCCTGAAAATTATCTAAGGAAAACAGTCGGATACGACTCTCTCTTATGATCCCCATGCTCCCAAGTTAAATTTGCACCAGCTAGTCCACCCCTTAGTATATTCACCAAGGCAATTTTTATTTTTAAATATTATTTTTTTTCTTTTTCTATCTCACTTTTTTTTTATTAATTATTTAATACAACTAAAAATTTATATGATTATTGTTCATTTTACAATTAAATAAATCATTTTCATTTTTGCATTTATATCTAAATATATTTTATATTCCATAAAAAAATTTATCTCACGATCAATATCAACATAATGTCTATTTTATTTTAATTAACAATTATCTTTATTTGAAAGACAATTTTTATTTTCAAAGTTAAAATTTCATTTTTTTCCTCTATCTCATAGATCATTTCTTTTATATAATTATTCAAGAAAATTAAATTTATATGATTATTATTCATTCATAATTAAGTCACTCATTTCAAACTCCCACGTGTCTAAATATATTTTATTCAATATCAAATACTAGTTGAAATTTAAAGAGAACATGAATCTACAATTTTTTCCCAAAACAAAATCAACAACTAAAGAGAAATGGAGAGAGTACGTCTAACTCTACCTGGCTTGCTCGTAAAAAAGATTGAAAACTAGGCTTAAAGTTAAATGTAAAAATGCAACTACAGAACACACTGCACTTGACTTTGCTTCAACGAAATGCTACATAGAAAAGTTGAATTGTGCTCATCATGCACATGTGTTTGTTTTCAAAACCACCATACGGATCTCAAGAATTCTTATACCCATCATTGTCCAGAAACATACTTTTATAGCATGTTTGGTTTAGTGAAAAAACACAGTGAAAACTCACGGCTCGGAAAACATAATGAACTTTGAATTTTTTTGATCTTGTATTTTTTTAGTTTATATGAACAATTCCACGTCAGATAAATTAGCCTAATCTGTCGGTATCTATAATAAAACAAGCATAATGTAATGTTATATAAAACACAAGGATATATCTCTAATCAATTCACGTGTAACACTGATGAAGTACATATAACGAGGGGCCGCAGCTATTTAACATATTAATGGAGTGTAACACAACATTCATAGGATGTGCTTGTAAAGGGGGCATTGGGACAGTCTTTCTCTCAAGAGGGGCGGAAATTTTCACAATGATAAAAGTTAAACAATCAAATAAAACCAGACACGATATTCTCAAATTAATACAGGCATCAATATCAAATTAATACAGGCATCATAGAAATACATTGATAGTCTTCGCGTATCCTATCATTTAAGCACACTGCAAAATAAGCATGAGACATGTCAGAAGCCAAGAAAGCAAGGAAGAGGGACAAACACCACCACAAAACACATGCTATGGTATTTAAAAGTTCTAGTGTTATTATCAGGAAAGTGACAGGCAGCTACTGATACGAACCAAAAAACAGAATGCAAGAGAATAACAGTACAAGCAAACAACAGAAGAAAAGAGAGCTTTATTATAGTAAGTAGAAATGGAAACAGATACAGAAAAGAGAATGTAACCCTAGATCTGATAAGAGCTAGACTCCTAATAGGAAGCTATAGCTCCCTATGCATACTAGTATATCACTATAATCCAAGGTAAGATCTACATTCTCTCTGATTCCTTATATCATGGAAATGGAACGCAAGGTGCTCTCCTCACTCAAGCCACGTCACAATATTGTAACTAACTAGCCATCAATTCCCTTCTTACCCTTCTAGAACAAACTTTCCACTCTTGGGGTCCACTTGATTCCATGTAAATCAGCTGCTCATGTGGCAATTCTTTCTCAACTAACTGGGTCCTATCAATACCCTCCCCTTCTGCAATGGCCTTGTCATCAAGGCCAAACTTTGGAAATTAACTTCTGATCATTATCTCATCCTCCCAAGTTGCTTCTTCTGCTGTCTTGCCCTTCCAATGTACCAGGATTTGTCTGATTTCTTCATCTTGTTTTTTCACCTTCCTAGTAGCTAGTACCGCCTCTGGTTCACACACTTCAGTCTGTTCATCCAATAGTTCTAGTAACTCATCCTCTTCATGATAACGTCCCACAGCTTTCTTCAATAATGACACATGAAAAACAGGATGCGCTCTGGACCCCTCGGGTAGCTTCAGTCTGTATGCCACTGCTCCTATCTTCTCAACGATGGGATAAGGACCGTAGTATCTTGCTGCTAATTTAGCACTAATTCTGGTCACTACGGACTGCTGCCTATGAGCTCTAAGCTTGACAACCACCCATTCTCCACATACAAAACTCCTGTCAATGCGTTTCTTATCAGCTTGACTCTTCATGTTCTCTTGTGCTCTCAACAATTGGTTCCTCAATTGTCTCAAAGCCTCGTCGCTGTCCAACAATTCCCTCTGTACAGCTTCTACTCTAGTCTCTCCTTGAGTCCATTGAATTAGTTTTGGAGGTGGCCTCCCATAAACTACCTCAAATGGTGTCTTCTCGGTGGTAGCATGAAAAGTTGTATTGAACCAATACTTAGCCCAGTGTATCCAAGATACCCATGTCCTAGGTTGATCCGCAATGAAGCACCTCAAATAGGTTTCCAAACACCTATTAACCACTTCTGTCTGCCCATCCGATTCGGGGTGATATGCGGTACTCATTTTCAGCTTAGTTCCCTGCAGTTTGAACATCTCCCTCCAAAAACTGCTCATAAAAATGGGATCCCTGTCACTCACCATGGAAAGAGGTATGCCATGGAGTTTGACTATCTCCTTACAAAATACTCCAGCAACTCTCCTAGCAGTATATAGAGGAATAAAATGAGAGTACTTGGACAATCTGTCCACCACCACCAAAATAGCTTCGAAACCTTTTGATTTTGGCAACCCGGTGATGAAGTCATTCGATATATCTTCCCAGATTTGGTGAGGAATGGGTAGAGGTTGTAACAAACCTCCTGGAGATGAAGCTATGTACTTCTGTCTTTGGCAAATGTCGCACCTTCTTACAAAGTCTTGTATGGTTCCTTTCATGCCTATCCAATACACATTAGCAGCAATTCTTCTTTAAGTTTTGTAGAACCCCGAATGTCCTCCCTGGGGTGTTGAGTGGAATTCCTCTATTAGAGATATAAGGGCAATCCTGTAATATTCTAGTATAAGGGAATTAGACTAGTGTCTAATTCCATTTCTATCCCTTATCCTTTCCATATAAAGGATCGTTGTAACTGAATCAATAAGAATAACAAATTTTCTTTTACATTTTCCCTCTCTCTCTCTCTCTTCTCTTTCTCTTCACTCTTTGCTTCTCTGTTTTCTATCATGGTATCCAGAGCTTATCTCTGATCCTCGGCGCGCATGGCTTCTCCGTCGCCGTCTTCCACCGCAAGCGGTGATAGCTCCGCCGTTGCTAACTCCACCTTCAAACAAAAGATCTCAGTCAAGCAATTCTTCTTTAAGTTTTGTAGAACCCCGAATGTCCTCCCTGGGGTGTTGAGTGGAATTCCTCTATTAGAGATATAAGGGCAATCCTGTAATATTCTAGTATAAGGGAATTAGACTAGTGTCTAATTCCATTTCTATCCCTTATCCTTTCCATATAAAGGATCGTTGTAACTGAATCAATAAGAATAACAAATTTTGTTTTACATTTTCCCTCTCTCTCTCTCTTCTCTTTCTCTTCACTCTTTGCTTCTCTGTTTTCTATCATGGTATCCAGAGCTTATCTCTGATCCTCGGCGCGCATGGCTTCTCCGTCGCCGTCTTCCACCGCAAGCGGTGATAGCTCCGCTGTTGCTAACTCCACCTTCAAACAAAAGATCTCAGTCAAGCTTGATGAGAACAACTATCGACAGTGGAAACAACAAGTTGAAGGAGTTCTTCGTGGCACGAAAATGGTGCGATTTGTCGTATCACCTCAGATACCGGAACGGTACCTCACTATTGTCGATCGCGACACCGGAAGTGAGAACCCTAACTTCGTCGCGTGGGAAGAACAGGATGCGCTGTTGTGCACGTGGTTGTTATCCACGATTTCATATTTGCTCCTCTCTCGTTTCGTTCTTCTTCGTCACCCGTGGCAAGTCTGGGAAGAAATTCATGCGTTCTGCCATACGCAAATGAAGACTCGGTCTCGTCAACTCAGATCGGAGCTTCGCTCCCTCTCAAAAGGTACTAGAACCATTTCTGATTTTCTTGCTCGCGTTCGCACTATCGTCGATACGTTAATGTCAATTGGTGATCCAGTCCTTCATCTTGACCAAATTGAACTGATTCTTGAGGCATTACCATCGGAATTTGACTCGATGCTGTTAACTCTAAGACTGATTTCATCTCAATTGATGAATTGGAATCGCTTCTCCTCACTCAAGAAGCTAGAGTGGAGAAATCCAAGAAAGAAGTTGTTAAGACTGTCTCTGTGAACCTTACTCAAGGTAATGTGCCAAGTTCCAATCTCAGTCCCCAAAATCTTGATATCACTGACTCCAGTGGTGGAAATTTCCAAAGCTTTGGTCGTGGTAGCTATTCTCGTGGCAGAAACAATAGAGGAGGAAGGTTCAGAGGACGTGGTGGCCGCAACGGCTACAGAAACTCTGTGCAATGTTAGATATGCTATAAACCTGGTCATGATGCTAGCTATTGCTACTACAGACACTCTCAAGACTCTTATGGTGTCTATCCTCCTTATGGTGCTCCTGCCTCCTTTGGAAATTTTGGCTTCAGTCAACCAAATGTGTGGACTCAACCTGGATTCAGGGCTCCAAGTCCTTCAACTGTGAATCAAGCTAGACCTATGGCGCCTGTCATGGCATCTCAGTACTCTGGTGCAAGGCCTCAGGCACTAATTGCTGGCATTGACTGTTCTTCGTTCTACAACCAGGCGTGGTATCCTGACTCGAGCTTCACATCATGTGACTCCAGATGCCACAAATCTTACTGATATTGTATCTCTGCCTAGTAATGATCAGGTTCACATTGGCAATGGCCAAGGTCTGTCCATAACTTCTCTTGGCTCTATGACTTTTCCTTCAAATTTATGCCCTAACACTTCTTTGAAACTGAATAATCTTCTTCTTGTTCCATCCATTACTAAAAATAATCTGCTGAGTGTGAGTCAGTTTGCCAAAGATAATGTTGTATTCTTTGAATTCCATGCTAATGCATGTTTTGTGAAATGTCAGGGTACTTCTAAAGTGCTTTTGAGTGGTTCCCTTGGGAGTGATGGTCTTTATAAGTTCGACTGCACTTCCTCCTTCTACTTCCTCTCAAGTCCTCAGTGTTGTTTGCAAGTCATCTGGCCTTCAACATCCTTCTTTGGAATCTAGCTTTGTGTTCATTTCAATTGTAATAATAGGAACTTAGATTTTGTTTCCAGTCTGTACAAATTGTGGCACTACAAGTTGGGTCACCCTCATCATGAGGTTCTTAAACAAGTTCTCAAACTGTGTAATATTTCAATTCTTAATAAACAGTTTTCTGACTTCTGTAACGCCTGCTGTATGGATAAGGTACATAGGTTACCATCTACCTCATCTAAAACTGTTTACTCCAAACCCCTTGAACTTGTGTTTTGTGACTTGTGAGAGCCCTCACCAGTTCCCTCCATCTCTGGCTATTCATATTTTCTCACCTGTGTTGATGCTTATAGTTATACTTGGATTTATCCTCTAAAATTAAAATCTGACACACTTGCCACATTTATTCAGTTTAAAGCTCTTGTTGAACTATAACTTAATCTCAAAATCAAGTCTGTGCAAACAGATGGTGGAGGTGAATTCAAACCTTTGACACACTTTCTAACCATGCATGGTATAACACACAGAGTTACATGCCCACATACTCATCACCAAAATGGTTCTGTGGAACGTAAACACAGACATGTTGTGGAGACGGGTCTCACTCTTCTTGCTCAGGCTAACCTACCCATAAATCACCCTTTTTCTTACTGTATTTTCAATTTCCTGACTACAAGTTCTTAAAGGCCTTTGGCTGCTCATGTTTTCCTCATCTCAGACCCTATAATTCTCACAAACTTGGTATGCATTCTAAGGAGTGCTTATTCTTTGGCTATTCTCCATCCCACAAAGGCTATAAATGTCTTGATCCCACTGGCAGAATATTTGTGTCTAAGGATGTAATATTCAACGAGCACAGGTTCCCATATACTTCCTTATTTCCTGACTCATCATCTAAATCTGTTTTAAAACCCTCCACTACTCCCTTTTCTGGACCTCCATCTGGACATCCTATTCCCCTTACATCTGTTGGTCCTCACTCATACTTTCAGTCACCTACTAATTCCCTTGGTTCTCCTAGCAGACAACCTTCTTTCAGCGGCATTAATCCTGACCCTGTTTTACCTGTTTCTCCCTCCCAGTCTGCTTCTATTAACATTTTGTCCATCCTGAAACATCTTCTGCTGACTCTTCAGCTGTGTCTCCTCAAGTTGGTACTGAGTCCTCCTCAGTGGTCATTGGCAACAGCACAACCTCTTCTCCATTCACTGAACACTCCTCCCCTGCTCCATGTGTTCATCCTCTTAACACTCATCCCATGGTCACTAGAGCTAAGGATGGTATTGTTCAACCTAGGCTGCACCCCACTCTCCTTCTCACTCACTTGGAACCAACCTCACATAAACAAGCTCTATCCATTCCTGAGTGGCAAACTGTTATGAAAGCTGAGTATGAAGCATTTAATTAGAAACCACACTTGGTCTTTGGTGCTTGTTCTTGATCACAGAAAACCTATTGGCTGCAAGTGGGTTTTTAAAGTCGAAGAAAATGCAGATGGGACAATTAATAAATATAAAGCAAGATTGGTTGCTAAGGGTTTCCATCAGGTTGAAGTTTTGACTATACTGAAACATTTTCACCAGTTGTGAAACCCATTACAGTGAGGATTGTTTTAACACTTGTCATATCTAAAGGTTGGATCATACAGCAAATTGATGTCAATAATGCTTTTCTAAATGGAGTGCTTAATGAAGAGGTTTATATGGTTCAACCACCAGGTTTTGAAAAGGGTGAGCCTGGTCTTGTCTGCAAGCTACACAAAGCCCTATATGGGCTTAAACAGGCTCCTAGGGCCTGATTTGATAAGCTCAAAGGGTCTCTTCTCCAAATGGGTTTCACTGTCAGCAGGTGTGATCCCTCCTTGTTCATGATGCTCACACCATCCTGCTACACCTTAGTGTTGGTCTATGTTGATGACATTATCATCACTGGCTCTTCTTCTCTTTCATCAAGCAGTTGGTCACTAAACTCAATCTGGCCTTTTCTCTCAAAGACTTGGGCAAACTAGATTATTTTTTGGGCATAGAGGTAACTCATCTTCCCAATGGTTCTCTTCTGCTTTCTCAAAGCAAGTATGTCAGGGATTTGCTTCATAGAGCTAACATGGCTACTGCTAAAGGAATTGCTTCCCCTATGGCCTCAAGCACCAAACTATCCAAAGCAGGTTCTGCTCAAGTTGTTGATTCCACCTACTTCAGGTCTATAGTAGGAGCCCTAGTATGCTACTGTAACAAGACCTCAGATCTCTTTTGCAGTCAACAAAGTTTGTCAATTTCTCTCAAACCCTCTTGAGGATCATTGGAAAGCTGTTAAGCGAATTATCCGGTATCTCCAAGGGACAGTTTCACATGGCCTTCTTCTCTCACCTGCTAACCTCACTTTGCCTCTCACTATCACAGGCCTTTGTGATGCAGACTGGGCCTCTGATCCTGACGATAGAAGGTCTACTTCTGGGGCCTGCATCTTCCTAGGTCCTAATCTTGTTACTTGGTGGGCAAAGAAGCAGACACTTGTTGCCAGATCAAGTGCTGAGGCAGAATACAGAAGTCTGGCCTTAGCTACAGTAGAGATTCTCTGGCTTCAATCTCTTTTGCAAGAACTTCACGTCACCCATCAGACTCCCAAGATACTGTGTGACAATCTAAGTGCAGTATCTCTAGCTCACAACCATGTTTTGCACTCAAGGACCAAGCACATGGAACTTGACATTTTCTTTGTCCGGGAGAA